TTTTTTTTTTTTTTTTTAACAAGAACGAGACTTCTTTGCATACTTAAGGACGAAATGAATAGCGTAAAATTTTTAACAAAATGATCGTTCGCCCCTTATTCATCTCACTGCGATCAGTATTATTTTATTTCTCTCTTCAGACATCGATTATTTTGATTATTTAACATCACGAAAGAGTGAATGTCATGCGAAAAACGAAATTCAATTCCAGGCTGAATGTCTTTTTTCTCTTTGTCTAGTGTTGAATCCATTTGAAAACCTCATGCTCTATTTATTTGCTCCTTTCTTCTGATTTCGATTCATCATGACTTCAAGACCACAAGATTCAATACTTTTCGAGAAAAAAGCGTTCTCCCTTTTGTCTTCTCTCAATTATGTATTTCCTTTACGTGCGTTTTTCATTTTCTTATTCTCATCGATTCTCATTTTTTTCTTCCGGTTTGTTCGTTATTACGTATCCTTCCACCTAGACGAATCAGGGGCGAGCAAATCGTGTATGCTGCCAGTTGACTTTTAACGTGATATGATTTTTTCCGTTTCTGTTTAGTACGACAGTTTGTGACCGGCGGCGGAGACTATTTGCCCGGTACGTAACTCATACAACTCTTTTTTCTTTTCCCTTATCACGTCCAAGCTCAAACAAAAGCAGCCTTTTTTTTTCAATATTTTGTTCATTTTTTTTTTATTATTATTGTTGTTATTTTTTTTACTTCTTTTCTTTTCTCTCGTATGCTTCGGTTTTCGTTCGTCTCGCGAAACAATTGATACTGTCGCCAGTATCAGAAATCAGATCAATTGTTTGATAATGATACGAAATACGAGAAACCAAGCAGTAAAAGAAGTAAGAAATTAATTAACGTTTCGCGAGGGTTGAGCGATTGACTGTTTCGAACAAAAAAAAAAAAAAAACAACAACAAAAGAAAACAAAAAACAAAAAAAAAATGAAAGGAAAGAGCTCTTTCTTTTGAAATTTTGCAATCTTGTTTCACTTTTCCTTTGATTTGTTCATTGGCTGCTTTTTTTCGCGCGACCACGACAACAGTTACAAGACCAGAATTTTTCTCCCGGGCGCCATTTTTGTTTCTTTACGCTTCTTGTCGTTCGTTATGATTATGATTTTTGCGACCGTGCC